ATTCCAGGCTGCACTTGCTGAACTGGGTGAGACCTGGGCCTGTTCTGAGGCAGTTGTAGCATTGTTGGATGAGTTCACTTGCTTGTTGTATGGGGACAAACATACAAAAACGGTCGATGTCTTGAGACATACTCAGCTTAAATTGCAGAAATGTGGTGGAGATGGGAAGCTGAGGCAATCCAAGACGGTAGATTTAGCATCACTGCCACCATGCTGCAGCTCTTTAAAAGAGCACAAAACCAAGTGAATTGCCAAGTCAGAACATGGAAGCGTGCTCATATTCATAAACCAGATGTACATGTACCAGAAGCAACAAATGGCCACGGATGGATTTTTGAGGATGGTAAGATCCAGCTGTAGTGGTCGGGGGGGGGAATGTGTTACCTGTAGAAATAATTGACATTCTGAGCACGATAGACCAGGAAGAGGAGAGTGACTCCGAACAAAAGAGTGACATGGACAGTGATACGGAGGAAGACAGTGACGAGTTGGACAGTGAGAGTGGCTGCTAATCACCCGAGGATCATTTCATAGAGAGAGCAGCTCAGTCAGTGTGAATAATACAGGTACATGTAATGTCACAGCAGGTTGAACTATTCAGGTATTCCTTAGGAGAGCACTGACAATATGATATAAAATAGCATTTTGGGGTAATAACGTGTTTTCGTTTATGAAATGCAGAGGCTTATCTTGGTTACTGCACACATTTCTGGAATGTGTTTATTTTCAAAACCATTATTGGTGTCCACCTTAAATCATGTGTTCAAACTTCATTGAATGTCTTTCATTGGTCCATGTATGGCCAAAGCCGTGTGTGGAGTTTTGAGAGTCACAAATTTCAACTTCATTGGAGTATGCCTGACCTTTTGACCTATATTTGCATATCCGTGGGAGGTATCTGTCATTGCTTCATACCATCACACAGGAGACCTAAGTAGCTCTCAAATGACACCTAATTTGTCCAAATGTTGGCAGAACTTAAATGTGTGATTTGACCAGTTTCTTTCCCCCTAACCCCAATTTTAAATCAATTTCCTGCATTAATCTCGGGGTATGGATAATTTGTACCACTTAAATTCATGTTAACATCATTTATCTGATGTAGTAGGGCCAGGAGCGTAACAACATACCAAGGAAGTCGAGTCGTGGGGGATGCACGTGGACCCATCGTAGCCCTCGGACTACCAGGAGGATCAATTTCCTACATTTCACCTCCAACAGGTGGCAACATGTCTGACAAAGAGCTTGCAGTTCCATGCAACATTCCTCAAAAGTTTTCTCCTGGTGACAAATGTATGGTTGATAAGGTTTCAAAATTAAAGGTGAGTTATTGGAGTATGGTGTCGAACTTATCCATCCCCAGTTTGTACATAGTGGGCAACCATTCGCTGTGGAAAAGAACAAATTAAGCAAGCAACTTGCACATGCTCGAATTCATGTTGAGCGTGTTATTGGTAGGGTACGTGACGTGACTAAAAGTACATGTACATGTATATCAAGTGAGATACAGCACCTGTGTCTCCGCTACATCTAATACAGTACCGAAGTGAATACGTCACATGCACAATTAGTGTGTAAAAGGCATTAGCGCGACAACCAGCGCATGAACCAACACGCGCGCGTACTCCATTCGTTTGCACTACACTTTCTGGTTCAGAGTGACGTCACACTTCGGTACTCTATAGGGCCTGCAGCACAATGTTGTAGTCAAGACCATCACAAGACCAGACACAAGACCATGCACAAGGCCAGGCACAAGAACAGGCACAAGTAACAGGGTGAACAACGACAAAGGAATGCTTTTGTTGCAATTCATTTGAATAGCTTGCGGCTTGCATTCTGACTGGAGGTCTTGTGTTGGTCTTGTGTGGTCTTGTGAAGGTCTTAACTGGTCTTCACTACAACACAGCTGCAGCTACATGTAGGTTTTGTTGTGCTCTTACTAACCTAAAGAATTCTGTGGTCACAAATTCCAAACTTTCCACAAATAAAAGCACATCCTTCAAAATTAGTCTCAAGATCAATGTTTGTTCATATAATTCGTCTCCAGTGTAGATAGATCAGCAAAAATCTTGTGGGTGAATATTGCAGTTTTCCAATAGGCATACATGCACTGTATGTCTATTGTAAAAAAAAATAAGTATTTTTAGGATGTGTAGCAATTTTTAGGGAATCATGTTGCATTGAGTCACATAATACATGTATGTCCTTTCACTGTTTCCTTGTCCTTACATTATTTTAACAAATGTTGGATGAGTTATTAGCATACCGGTATATGTTTGTTGATCCTCGCTTCATTAGATTCAGCAGATTGAAACAAGGCTTAGTTGGACACAAGCTGTTGCATTTCTTTTCCCGGTCTGAAAAACTGGTCCATGCCCATTAAAAAAAGTAAAGCAATGATAACATCAGGCATCCAAAAAATAATGGAAATCAATGACACACTCAGCTGATCATTTAAGCTCATCATTCTGCATGGTAATTGGTTTATTGATTTCTGTTCAAAAGTAAGGTCTGAAACAGCGCAGGTCTACGTTACTGGTATGTACATGTACAAAAATTGTGTAATATCTGCACTTCCATCACAGCTATTTGTGCAACCAAAGTGCATGCCTTCTTGGTGAATTTAGATGTTAGATGGGGATGTTTATTCACCTTATATCCTCATTAAAATGGTGAAATTCTTGACCACTTTGTCCATCCACACGATAAAAAAATCAGCTGCATGGACTTTCAATAACTGTCAGCTGTGTGATAGCTTGACCAATCGCAACCTAGCTCCTATCCTTTCCTTTTGTTTTCCTGTCACCCACGCATAAAATCTGCACTGTGATTAGTCCAACTTGCTTCCATTCTAATGACCACTGCTCTATGCAATGACCAACCACAGCTCAGCTGTCATTTGGATGGAGTCAGGACATCTAATTTCACCAAGAAGGCATGTATGAAATTTGTTTGTACAAATAAACTGGAATAGCCAAGATGTGTTTATGGGAGTTTGTACATGGCTATCTAAGTCTGGACATGTTGGAAGTAGGTTTTACTTGAAAAGAGGCCAATTTTCTTTGTAGTACATTTTTAATTTCAAACCAGGTGTGCTGGCAACTTTGCGTATCACAGGAAACAGGAATCAGGTATTTTTGTTTCCCACAATTTTACCCACTTTCCCTTTCTTTTGCATGTGTCCAGACTACGAGGGTCTTGATAGGCAGTGTTAGTGCCAAAAGCAATCCTGTGAAAGCATTAAAGCGCCCTCTGTTGTTCACAGACATTTAGGCTGTAATGATGGGATGTCAATGCGGGCATTGCTCGTTTTTTGTCATGAGCCGGGTGGAATGGACGGTGGAGGAAAAAAGTTTTTTCAACCTCTGCATCTTTCTCCTAGGTTAATATCTTGAAGGAATTGAAGGAAAGAATTTGGAAGCTTCTGTAAGACTAAGAGCTTTGTAACCCTTTGCACAAGGACCTTTTGTAAACGTTTAACTAGCGTTTATCATATGTATGGAGTTTTGACAAGTTACGTAGAATTACAATTTGGAAGAGACAGTTGAAACGTACACAAGCGTGAAATCTTGCTTTTATTTTAGTGCACAGAATAGACTGATATAGCTTCAAAGAACTGCTAGAGCGTTGGAAACTTCTGGGTATACTTGCAGGCCCAGTCCATTCACTCAATTACCAGATGTACGTGAAGGTGGGCAATAGAGCTAGTACGTTAAGAAGGGCCCATGAACCGATTAAAGGGCACGTGATGTAGAGGCAGTTTGCCTAGCTATAGGCCTACATGTACGTCAGATTCTGGAGACAAAGCAAACATTTCCACAACTGTGGAAATTGTAAAAGGGAGAAATCTACACATTCACTGAAGTGGTAGGTAGGACGAAATCATAGCTAAAAACTTGCCTGAACTCCCAAGCCATGACGAAAACAGCCTTGCTTCCGCCCCTTCAAGTCTAGTACAACGCAGCCAGTTCACATTTGAATTGGAAAACACTGTCGCGGGTCAATGGTGACGAAAACAGCCTTCCTTCCGCCCCTTAAAAACTAGTACAACGCAGCCAGTTCACATTTGAATTGGAGAACATTGTCGCGGGTCAATGGTGTTGATAGCGCCCTCTTTCGAGCAAGTGCTGTACGCAGACAGCTGTTATTTACACAGGAGGGGTCGGGTGGGGTGTTGCCCAACGTTTTCTCCTGTAAAACATTTTTTTAAGAGAAGATGCTTTCGTATCACATTTTTAAGCCAATATCGTTTGCCCGAGTAGTCTTCATAAACAGTATTAATCATCCTTTTTAAGTAAAATGACAGGTCCGGAAATCTTTGAAGAATGGCGATCATTAAATCTGATAGAAATCTCCTGATATAAATGAAATGGCCAATTTAAAATGTCAACCCTCTGCTCCACGGTTGAATTTTAACATTTTCTGTTTGTTTCAAAAATCCCACCCCATATGAATTATGTCAGTCACTGAAATTTTGTGTTCTTTTTCTAAATTTCTTCCATTTACATTCCCCTGAAAGCTTTTTAAAGCAGTGTTGAATACATTTAACCTGCATTTTTGTCAAAAATAAAAAGAAGCATCGAGTGTAGATTTTGTGTCAGTCAAACAGCATGTCCTAATTCTAGCTTGACATCCAGGCAAATCTTTCTCTGTTACTTAAGCTGTAATTTCCACTGTGGCACAATCATAATTCCCATGAGCGTAAATCCCAGGCGTGAGAGTACAAACCCAAAACTTTTGACCTGGGGACAGGACATTTGATCACCCCTCTCCACAGGTTGGCGTTAAGAAATATCCAAATACGTACATCTCCAACAGCCAAAACATTAATGGAGAGCCAAAACTTCAATGTCCTGTGCCGATGTTAGTTTAAATATATAACTATTATAATTTCTACAAGATCGAAGCGCTGCGCGAAGAAAACTAGGTGAACAGGTGATCAAGACATACCCAGGAAAATGTACAAGATTAAGAAAGGAACTGAAAAAAAACACAAGTGAGATATTTGCAATTTAATAAATAATTAATCTAAATACATATGCAGTAAGTGGCTTCTGGCCCAGTCTTTAGAACATGCAGTGCAGAACACTTCATTACCATGTAGCAACTTGTGTATTGATCGTTTAAGCAATGGCAATGTGAGATAATCTCAGGATTGTTGGTCATTATCCCCCGTCATAATGTGTATGACTATAATGTATGACTATAGAAATGTTAACTCCCTCCACGAAATTTCGCATGCATTTTTGATCAAATGGATAAACAAGAATAATTAATTTCAAAAGAATATATACCCAAAATGATAAACGGACATTAATTAAACGAGCAAACTTTGGGGAAAAGGGTCTCGAGCTAGATCATGTCGGATATACGAACCTCTATTTTAGCGACATTACAAATAATTAATAATGGTTCTTTTTCAAACATACTAGACAGCAATCATCTTTGCATGGCAAAACAGGTTATCTCACTTGTGTACTTTCAAGGGGGAATGAGAAATGGGAAAATACTGCAATTACTTTCACACGGATTATCAGATTTTTGACTTGCGCTTTTTTGACTCATACTTTCTTGTAATTCAAAAATCCAACGATGTCGCCAGGGTGTCAACATAACATTTCATGATATTGAATCAAGACTGCATACGTTTTTACACTTTGCTATGAAATCGACATCAAGGAAAGCTGCAAATGATTCCAGTGAGCAAATAAGTGTAAATAGACATCCTAGGAGCAACGCCAGAAAGTCCATTAAGGTTGGGTCTTCTTCTAAAACTCTGACAAAGAAACTTATTTTTGGCGTTTCCAATTTAAAAAATAGAAACATACGGGGGAACGGAGTTACCCCAAGCTCAATCTGTACGTCATTTTACCAAGTTCTAAATTAATCCAAAAGAGCAAATTTCTTAAATAACAGCTCGTTTCCCCTTTATCGTTGTGTGCCTTTTAATTCATTTTTCCTCCCATGATTTCACACACCTCTTCCGGGTCCTTCTTGTTCGTCAAAACAAACACGCACTTTTCTTTATCAAGGTATCCTTCGCATTTGCTGCGGTCATAGTATGGTATCATCACCCTGACGTAAAAACAAGAAACCGTAAGCACAGATGTGAGAAAGCCCAAAGGTACAAATCAAGTCAAAAAATGGCATGTCCACAGTATACAATATAGCCTGGCGGTGATTCTGACGTAAACAGCCTCCTCTTTTGGTGTATACCGCCGCTATGAACGCCACGCCCACATTTTATATGACCTTCAAACACAAAACATACCACTCTCGCAAATTTGCGAACTCGAACAGTTTTTTCGAAACGTCATAACTGAGGTCAATAAGTCTTGCGCTTTACTACAATTGCTCACTTGTTCTTCAAAAGCTAAATGTCCTCGGTAAATTCTAACACCTTTAGGCAGAGGATGGGACACTGGCTTCTCGTCTCTCGTGATAAAACCCCCTAACATTAATAATCAGCAAATCAAGCGGGGAATTCTTACGTTCCATGGCAGGATGCGCCTGTGGTTTGATCGCCATTTGCTACACATTCGCACTCGTAGCAGTGTGGAATGCCGTTGGTTCCAGCGATATCGAGTTTCTCCTCAGGGGTGCAATCATCTACATGCACACGGGAACAGAATAAAAAGGAAATGGAACTTCTACACTGTGACAAAATGCTGGGACCTGATGTTCTCAGGCCCTCGTTTAGCTATTTAGAGTAGCTCGACGATCAAGAAGTCACACTCTAATTGTACGGGTTTAGTCACAGATACCTCTCAGACCTTTTGAGAATCAAGCAGCGATACAATTTTAAGCAAACCCGTTATGTAAACTAAACATGTCCAGCCTTTTCTCCCGGAACATGGACGTGTGGCTATTTACAAATTAGCTTAAGGCTAATTAGGCCTACTCAGGGACAAACTTTATTCAAACACGAAATTGTCAGATATCAGATTCCAATCAGAAAGGCGTTCTGCAACTGGCAACAAGATAGCCACTTTTCAACTCTGGAAAGTTTTCGCTACAAACGTCACTTGCAGTCAAATTTGATCGATTTCGCGTTTGTCTAAAAATACGAACCGGCCTTCGCTTGAGCGATTTTCTATATAGATGTCCTGATCATGTAGGATGTGTTCGCTTTGTCTACGTCTGAAGCAAATACAAACTAAACTACCTGAAGTAAGCAGGAAAAATTAGTGGCAGATTTGATAGGAGACTACAACGAAGCCCTTCATGCGCACACTCTTTATGCCGAGGGGAGGACATTAACCCCACATGGGCATGAGTGTAACATTAAGGTCAATGTCAATAAGTCGCGTCCACTCTGACCCAAAGTCCTTACAATGTTGCAGGCGGAGAATGGCAGCGTTGGCTGCTGCAACAACGAGCAGGGTGATGACCAAGATGACAGCCGATCTCATTGTGATTTCTAAACAAAATGAGAACGTGTGTATAAAAACGTGAAAATGAATACTTCATATCTTCAAAGTTTTAACAGCAGACTGAGGTGGACATGCATAATTTTCTCTAATTCCTACGAAAGCCCTGGTGTAAGGAAGCGTACTGCTACAAAAACACACAAAAATTATTTTATCTCGTTCAAGCGACTTATCTTGTTTATACGACATGGTTATCTCGTTTAAATGACAAAGTTATCTCGTTTGTCATTAAAACGAGGTAACTGTGTCATTAAAACGAAATATTTTTTTTCACGTTGGCAGCAATACACCTCCGTAGTGAAGCGACATGAATTATATTTTTCAAAAATTGAAGTATATTTACGTTTTAGGAGATTTTTTCTCTGAAATTTTTTAATGAAGTTCGTTTGGTCGAGACATACATACTTCAGTTTGTTCTTGTTAGATCTATATTTAGAAACATTGTTGATATCATTTTTACGAGATATATTTTTCATGGAGTTTGTTTTGTGTCATTTTTCTAAGTTAATTTTCAGGAGATATGCATTGTCAGGTTTGCATTTTATTCCTCATAAAAACAAACTTCAACAGAATATAACTCATAAAAACGAATTTAAAAAGCGTAAAAATTATTTGTATTCAACAATATAAACTACTGTATGTTTCTCTTTATAGATCTTACGAGGACAAACTGGAAAATATATAGGGCTTATCCCTAACAAATGAACTCGGGAAGAAAAATACATCTCTTAAAAACGAACTTATTTTATAAAATTAACTTTAACAAAATATACTTCACTTTTTGAAAATACATACTTGATATTTGAAAGCTATTGCATGGCTCCGAAAACTCTCGAGTTGGCGATACACCATACGTACCTTGGTGGAAGCTCTTTGAAAGTATAGCTTGTCTTTGTCTTTCAGCTCTGTCGATGACACTTATGCGCGTCAGTCCCGGTGTTCCTGATGTATATTCCCTTTTCAGTGTCACAGTTGGATATTGTACTTGATTTGAACTATGTGCCAATTTTTCCGAAGGCCGGTCAATATTGTCTCGGTGTTGAATACGTCTCCATGGACATATCTCTTTCTGTTTGCTTACTTGAATGATTCATGTGTGAGACCGGAGTGAATATAATCGTGTCCTTTCTACTGATAATCATTAGTTTCATGCCTTGGTCACAGGGTGTACGCTGTAAAATCTTAATAATTTAGTTTAAAAATGTGGTGCACCTGCTGCGCTTGCAATGAACGGTATTGATTCTTGCACACACAGTATAGATTAATCGATGTCATCATTAGGCTAAGACACAAGTTGACTGTCACTGCAAGTAATTCCTAATCCGTGTCGATGAGCCACCTGTTCTTACACGCCACCCTCCTACAATGTATCTGGGTCATTCCATGAGATTGGGGCACAATTTGTGACGTGTCAATTGTTACATGGGTTCCGTAAAAATGAACAGTTATTTCCCTGCATGTGGATTCCAAACTGTCATTGTTATACATCTTGCAAAGCTGAATACAGAGGTGTGTGTTATTTTTGCCGAGTAAAATGACCTACTCTATGACAGGTGGTGAAAGTTTTGGATGTAACAAGGACACCGCAGCAAATGATGCCCCAACCTCGTGAAATGACCCATCTACAGGGAACATGTGTTTAACCTATGCAGAGTTTCCCAAAACGCCAATATTTGACCTTATTGATGTTCTGAATAAGTCTCGTGACATGAATCAATGGTGACGATGCATGTTGCACAAGAACAGACGGTTTGATTAAACCTGCACATGAGTGGTGCTGGAACACTTTCACAGAACCGCCGTATTGTATCTAGCCTTAGGAATTTGTTTTCACACGAAAGTATTCTTACGGCAAGAAACGGAAAAAATGAACTATAATTATGTCATGATGTGCATCGCAATTGACTGAATACCGGATTATTGTTACGGAATACAAGACTGCCAGATGCACACGAAATAAGAGTCTAACCAGATTGTTTGACAACGCCAAGGGCGCTGTTACTGTGTTAGGTAGAGCCACAGAACGCCAGTCTTGCGCGTATAACCATGATTTTGAAAAGACCGGGGGCGGAGGGGGTTTGAGCGTGATGTGCATACAACGGCCTCTCCGCCTATTCCATTAAAAACGGATGTTCTTAAGGAACTGTTTCATTTAAAGCTACAATTTCCAGCGTTTCTATTACCTACAAGGGTTACTGAAGCACTCGTTCTATTTTCAATGTGTTTACCAGTCCCTTTTTTCATTGAGATTCTAGAGAAGGACTCCCATTTTTGCTTCTCGGTCCTGTTGTGAATCCTGCACGTGAACACGCTTATAATGCACACACTGCGCCGTAATCTCAAACTATTAAACACCCCTAAAAAACATGCATAACAACGATTTATTTTGTAAAACTCTTACCTTAACATTACTTTTTTTCCTGAAATATCAGCGTAAAGTCCTCACCTTCAGACGGTAGCCGTTTAAAGGAAATCCTTCCTTTCAACATGACCCTTTAATACACTGTTATAACAAAACCTGAGTGATGCCTCCCATTCAAATGTTGTCCATTGAGTTTGGTGCGCGTACAGTCAAAAACATCAATTTTTCAAGTTTTATCAAAACATAGACCTGGAGGAGAAACGCACAATGGACTGCCAACTCATGTGGGCGCGCACACCGCGCATTGCGCGTATACATGTTCCGTCGGCCGGAGTTGCCGGCACAGGTAACTTCCTGTCCGCTTGTTAAAGCGGTGTTCACGTGCAACTAAAGATTGCGTCGCTGTGCTCAAAATTTTGCCTTGGAATTCTTGATTTTTCATGTTTTTCGTGGATAAAATAGCAAAATAGGCATGAATGGGCGAGAAAGACAGCATAAAAAGATGTATTATTCGGTATACCATAGAAACTCACCTCCCTTTTGTGTCTTCAGGCGCTGCTTCCAACAATTGCACAATTATTTCCTGGAAATTGACGCCTTTTTGAGTATTTTTTTATTATACATTGTGCTGCATGCACAATTTAACACACGGAAAACAGCAAAACAGAAGTTCTCTGTGCCAGTAACTTCGGCACTTCCGGTTGATGCAAGACGTGCGCCCGCTGGAGTTGGCAATCCATTTTTTTTCTCCTGCAGGTCAACTATAAAAACTTACAGCAGGTGGAGATGTAGACTTGGTCAAGGCTTTTGTGCGTTAATATAATGGAGATCAATGATTAAACATTATTACTACTGAATGACAGAGGGCGACCCTCCTCGCACAAAGAAATCCTACACAAAATTAGTGTACGCGTGCGCCATCTTCGCGACGTCACGCGTCCAGCGGCGTTCATCATGAAGCGCGCCAGCAAACACTAACGACTGACGCCACAGAAACCTGGGCAATAAAGTTGACACAGCTCGTTAAAAAGAAGGAATTGCAGGTAAACAAAATGAAACAAAATAGTTATCCTAAAGACAAATTTCATCTCGAAAATTACCTTTACTTATACAAGTGAAAATCCCATATAAGAAATATATTCATGATGAAAATAACAGTTTCACTAAATATATTATACTACGGGTTTATACACTTGGAGTCACACTTGAAATTATCAATAAAATTAAAAATATTGCCAGCTTTTCGTGGTTTCGGGGTGCATTCCACCAAATGGTTGTATTTCTGCGCGCGTGCTCATTAATATTTTGAGATCCCGCGAGGTTTTTACAATAAGGCAGACCATAATCAGGAGGCATCATTGAAATATTTCTATAAATCCTGAATTTGGGACTGATAGCTTCCAGTTCGGGGTATATCTTTCACAAAAAGCCCCAAATTGCGGGCCTATTTTGGATAGAGGCGGGCGGCTACATTCAGAAATGAGCGCTTAGTTTTAAAATAAAAAATAAATAAAAAAGATTTTCGTGGCTAACCCCCATGAAATTGAAACGAAAAGTGATCTTCTGGCCAGTAAAAAACGGAGGCCAACCTCTTCACGAGAGTCAACAGGCGGCGCTATTTCGGTCCGATTTTGCACTGTTTTATATGGGCGCGTATTTGGTGTAGTGCAACCTTCGAAGGACTCACAAGGAGCCCCATGGCAGACAACTGAAGTCCCCGAGACCTCTCCAACAAAAACAATGCAATTTTTAGCAAGTTAACCAATGAATTTTTTAATTACCCGGCCCAAACAAACACCCCAAAAAGTGAATGTTCCGAAGTCTTCTCAGCGGCCATTTTTCAAGTGACACTCCTCACCTTTGCGGCCTCTTCTGACAAATCTTCAGTCACATTTCTGTCTGCTTTGCCCCCATATGGGTGCCCTTAAATCTACAGAGATGATCCACTGACACAATTCTATCATTTCTTGGCCCAAACAGCCACTCCTCTTGAAAGAATCTGCAGGGGGTACTTTTTGTGCGCCTCATCCAGGCGAAGAATTTTCCTTGCATTGGGACACTGCACACATAGGCGCGGCGAAACAGTACTCCGTGGCAACGCGCACAGAACGCATTACATTACCTGTACATATTTGTTTACGTGTACTTTGTCGCTCTTTGATACGGCTATCTCTTCTTTTCAAATGTTGCAACCGCATCGTTTGAATCCCTATGGGCCAGATTAAGTAACCAGAGGATTTTTTGACGATCGAAAAATGGCTTCATAGAATTTTACGGCTGGAATTGTTCAACTGTGCGTAGTCGGGCGCCGCGCAGACTGTAGTTTTAAACAGGAACTGGCGCTTATACGTCTTGGGGTAGCGCATGCCATGATTAACCGTGTAACACGACACAATCTATTAATCTTAGTGCCATAGTGGACAGAAGTCGTGGCCAAAAAGTCCACATGTTGGAAGGTTTACTTAATAAAACTCCATGAATTGGAGGCGAAAACTGTGGGTAGTTTTACTGGTGAGTCCTTAGGTACTAACTGATTGTAATCCGTAGTTTAAACAACACCTCTATTCTAATATGTCTAAATTAAAAGTAAAACACGTTCATTCTAAATTACAAGTGGTGTCAGCTATCCCGTCTTTGAAATGTTAGCCACAAATTTACACGTTAGCCAAACAACATACGTTTGTGGCCTACCCTCAGAACTATGGAGTTGGACCCCACACTGTAGTTCTGGGTGTAACATTTGTAAATTTCTAATTTTAGATAAGACTTGAAAATCTTAGACCAACTATCTCAAGTTCTGGTACCAGAACTTGAGATAGTTGTTCAGGGGGCCGGCGCCGCCAGGGGACAGCAACCTCTTGACAGCTTCATCCCTTCTGTAAAGAAATGGAAAGAGTTCCATACAGCTATGGTCACATGCTGTGCACAAACACTTTGGGGACTGCCCTGAAAAATAGTTGTTCTTAGAAAATGCTTCCATACATTGCCGTACTTGCTTTGTAAACTCCTTACATGTTATTACTTTCTGATGGCTGATATAGACCACTGTAGGGGAAAATTCGTGATGTTCATGCTTGGAACTCTTTAGAAAGGGAAATTTGTTACTTTTACCAAAGATCGTATAGCGCTGCTATGCGGCACAAGATGGCAAACTTCACCGTGAATACACGTAAAACGTTGCAATCGTATGGGTGCCATTTGAGCAAATGATACGCCTGCACAGTGCACATTAATGCACAGGCACCGCGGCAGGCACGTACGCCTGGTGAGCCTGTGCCTAAGCATTACCATAAACCGCGCAGGCATATCGCTTGCTCAAATGGCGCCCATGTTAATTACACCTTTTGGGCAGAGTTATCCATCTTGTGCCTTCGGCGCCATACGATCTGTGCTTTTTACATATTGTTTGATATTTGCTCTTACAGGTGCAGAATCATGTCACAAAATATGATGTCAACACATGCAGACAGCCCACAACATGCTAGTTTCTGCCTGAATAGAAAAGCAGCAGTATTGGTGGCCGCTTGTTGCGCGGCAATCTTTTTAACCTATTCACTCAAGTACTACACAGACAAACGGGAAGGACTTCAGGTACAGGCCCTATATGTGCCGGGAACATTGAACAGTGGGCCACCAACCAAACCAGCAACCTTTGCCAAGGTTATTAAAGCAGCCACACAGAAACCAGGAACTTTCCAAACTCGGGTTGAAGACTTGAAGAGCAGTGGTGAAGCAAAGTCGGCAGAATCGAGTCAACTCCTCCGACCCCCGAGCACCGCACACCAACAGGACCAAGATGAAGCTGCCTCGTCCGCCTCTTGGTCCAGTGTTTACGACGAGGAGGATGAAGCAGAAGAGGCTGAAGTTGAAACGGAGGAGAAGACAGCCCCAAAGCCACAGGGCGACTGGAAGAGACGCCTCCCGCAGGTCATCATCATCGGGATCAAGAAGGGAGGGACGCGTGCCCTGCTGACATTCCTAAACGCGCACCCACAAGTTGTCATATCAGGGAAGGAGGTGCACTTCTTTGACCGCAAATACGACAAGGGCATAGAGTGGTACAGGTGAGCCTCAGTACTTCACATGTGTGTTTGTTGATCTGCTTGATTGTGCTATATTTGTTGTACGAGCAGTCAGTAGTTTCACCTTCAGGAGGTCGCATTTTCTTTCCAATTCACAGCCGTGAATGATTGTTTCACAAAAGGGAAGTAAAATTAGGGATTTGATACAAAACTGGCCAACGATGCAACATGTCAAGATCGTGCTGATACGCATATATGTTGTACTGTAAGGGCCAGGATTTTTTAACCCTCTCATAAAATAGCCGAGGAAGGGGGGGATTCCATCCTCTACTAATTCCATGATCAATAGCTATCCATTGACCAGTGTTTTATGAGTGCGGCAACCCTCGACTTCATGGGCTGGGTGTGCGTTCCTTCACTAGCCCGTCATGTACATATAGAATACAAAAATGACGCTGACTGGCTATTCAGGATGGATATTAACGTAAAGTGAACTGCACATGTATGTATTTCAAAAGCTACACAATCTTGCCTGAATTTTCTCCTGCGCGTCCTGCATGGGTAAATCTGTGTGGCTCGTAAACACACCAAATACAGTCCTAATTTAAATCTCCCAAATAATGAGATATTTAAATAATGCAATACCGGGTTTAAGATCGCGCAAGGCATGTTGGGTAACAATGTGGTGCAGCAAGATCATATCCAACTTTCCATGGGAACGAGGTTGCGGGCAGGTATACATAAAATTTCAATACATATTCAATTCCAAATGATGGAGAATGGTCTTCAGTGACAGATGAGCTGGCAATAGTCCTTTTATGTCTGTCATACATGACCCTTGTTGAACTTGCCTTGCAGGAAAGCAATGCCTTACTCTTACGATAATCAACTCACAATTGAGAAAACGCCCAGCTACTTTGTGACGCAACAGGTCCCGCAGCGCATTTACCGCATGGCCCCGGGCACAAAGTTCTTGCTGGTGGTGCGCGAACCTGTGGCACGGGCCGTCTCTGATCACGCCCAGTCCCTCAGCAAGGGCAAGACCACGCCCTTTGAGGAGAAGGCCATGCTGGATGAGCGGAGGTGTGCGGTGGACAGGAGCTGGAGTGCCATCCGCATTGGGCTGTACTCGCTGCACCTGACCAACTGGCTCCGGTATTTCCCCCGCAGTCAGTTCTTGTTCGTCAGCGGCGAGAACCTGGTGGCCAACCCCGGCCAGGAGATGGAGAAAGTGCAGGACTTCCTGGGCATCCAGAGAACTCTCACGGAGAAGTCATTCGTCATGGATGAAACCAAAGGCTTCCCTTGCCTAAGGGAAGACCAGGGCAGCGTGAAGTGCCTGGGTAAAAACAAAGGACGCTCCCACAAACCTGTGGATCCTCAAATCAGGGCTTGCCTGGCCAAGTTTTACCAACCATACAATGAAAAGTTTTACAACATGACAGGTATCAATTTCCACTGGGAGGACCGAGAAACTTGAAAATGGTGTAACAGGCACCCTACCTTCAGTTTAAGGGAATTAGGGGACGTCAGGTTACAAGAGCTTTATTTATGTCGGATAATGAGATGTTTTAGTGGCCCCCCAGTATTTATATTTAGCAGTATTTCAAATTCGACACAGCCTGTGTCATATTTAAGAGTATTTCAAATTTGACACAGCCTGTGTCATATTTAACGGTATTTCAAATTTGACACAGCCTGTGTACCCTGACCACTTTGCAAGGAACCAGCCAAAATATACATACTTGCAGGTATGTGTACATGTACGCGTACACTGTCCATGTACGTGTACACCATCAAGAAAGCATTGACATGGGTCCAACACTCTTGTAAACAGCTCACTTTGGATTTGCACAGTTAATACATGTTCAGTCCAGAGTTGCTGGAACAAGCAGTGCGCAGGTTGTTTTTGGCCTTAAGGGATGTTGTTTCTTGTTTCCATGTGACTCCGAGAATTTCCCGAAAAGCAAGGGAGGGGGAGAGGATTTGGTTAGAAATTCACAATTCTTGCACCAAGGGTTGGCATGTGTAAAAGTCCACTTGGTAATGAAAGGACTTTGGTTATGGTATTGTGTTGTACCAACTCTAAAAAGTCAGAATTTTCAGCCGAAAAATAATACTGCTCCTGGGACAGGTTTTTAGTTATATAATACCCTTAGCCAGGAGTTAAAAGGGGAGGGTTACGCTCTCCAATAGGTGTCTGGACACCAGACTGTTACCATTCAATGGCAAACCATTCCGGAACAATTCCTGCACTGCCCTACTTGAAGTGGATTACATGCAGGCTATGAATTTCCTAGAATGTATTCTCTATGGTACCGACGAAGATGACCTCAAGATCACATTCACTGTATGTTTTGCGTACACAAGTTACCACAGCGGGTATTGTATCTTTGAATAGACAAGTATATTCTTTACAATCAAGATTACATAATTATTTCTCACCACAGATAAAAGTATAATTATCCCTACTGTTTTAATATTAGTGGTAGGTACACATTTAATAGTTGTTTGTACCTTTGTGATTTAGTACCGACTAGTACTTATACTGTTCTTGCCAAGAGAAGCATTTATATTTTACAGTTGACAGTACTTACCTGAAATGGTTACTTAAACAATACGGCCATTTCACAGTAGTGTGCCACCATGAGTTTGCAATGCGTTGGCCAATCGCAATGCGCAAAATCTGTCGACCAAATACGTGTTTGGAAAGGGTCGACAAATTTTGTGCGTTGTGATTGGCCAATGCGTTGCAAACTCTTGGTGGCGCACTATTGTGAATCATCTGTATTGTGTAATTACTGTAGAGAATTTAGAGTTGTCACAAGTTGACGCTGACATGAAAACAGTGCATGCGCTTCATCACAACTCAAGGGCACTTTGTGAATCGTGTAATGAGCAGTTATGTATTACAGCACACGCTCAAAACAAGGCAAGTTGTAGGTCATTCGAGAATATCAGTACACATGGGCCAAGTCCCATCAGAGCAGCTATAAGCCGACTCACTACCCCTAAACACATGCGTGTTTGGGCTGGCTTGATACAACTGATTCATTGCCGTCACTTTTGTTAAAGGCAAAGTATTATGTATATCCCACTTGTTTTTATGGAACCTAGCAAAACATAATTTGTCTATATTTGTATATCCTGTATACATGTACATGTGCAACTCTAGGCCTTATCTTGAAGTAAACTTGACACTTATGCCATCATCGAATTTGGACTTCTGAATTGTTTTGCACAGGGGACGCTTATAAGTGTATGGGGGTACATGTGTATGGTGATGTACAATCTATTGCCAAAAAGCCGAAGATCGACTGATTATATGTAAGACAGAGGATTCATGTTTTCTTGGAGATTTGGCATGACACACACATGGAAAACTCAGAGAAATAACTTAAAAATCTGCACTGTTTTCTTTTTACATTCGTTGAATTTATTCACCAGTATCAACTGTGAACTTTGCTGATGGGATGTACCCTTAAAATAAATAATGATGTTTTGTAATAAAACTACACAGTGATCATGTCCTTTTTCAGGGTAGTACTCAAAACTCCCAAGCTCGGAACACTGGGAATACAGCTAGTGTCACTGCATGCCATTAACATGCTCGTTCAGGCTGAAAATCCATGTCAGGGGGGAATGTGTCACGGATGAACAAGACTATTAGAGTCTTGCATTCCGAAATGTTCAATGAACACAGCAAGTGTTCAAAATCATTCTGTAACCAAGAGAACTTTACCAAAGCTCCTGGTATACGTGTGCACACACTTTGCTGATGACAACTGTAGGAGTATGTACAAAAAGTGTTCAAGAAGTGCCCTCTTGTGGTGACTGTCACATTTCAAAATAGCCAGCTTGAGCAGTCAACATCTACCTGAAATGTTCTCACAAGAGGCTGAAAGCTGTTCCCACGTTACCAGTCAGAGCAGAGGTGTTTCTGGTGATATGAAGGAGTTTTCAACTCTGCCTTTGTTTTTCGAGATGCTCAACTTCCATAAAGATTTGAATCCAACAAAAATAGTAAAACTTAAGTAACTTGTTCACTACTGTTGAAACCAAAAGTCTTCCATGTTGTACCTGTTCCTTTCAAAGGCGTTTTTCACAAAGATGAAAAAAACTTCAACTCTACATGAACGTTCCTGAAATTAAATACAAAATTTCAGATTCACTATCTTAGTAAAATATAATTGCACTTTGGCACTGGAAAATGAAACGCAACTCGGAGTGGTGGGGGTGGGTATGGCTTAGAAGTACCGTCTTTCCAAAACGTGGCACGCCTTCTCGTAAAAGCAAAATGTGAAGCCCACAGTTCCGACAGCTTTCAGGGTGCTGGGCCAGAGCCCCTTGTACATGCCCCTCAAGCCCTCCTCCCTGACCGTGCAGGCCGCACAGTGCAGCATGCTGTGGTAGCGCCGCACTCTGCCAAAGGACTTCCGGGCTTCCTCAAAGCCCTGGACCTGCAGACGCTTTTTGACGAGGTCCAGAGGGTACACCGTTGTTTTGGCGCAGAGGCCTGACAAGGCACCGCAGGTGAAGGACTTCAAGGCAGCTGTCAAAGCAAGGAACGAAACTCTGTAAAACAGTAACAGTCCTTTTCTTTCTGGGCTTGGGCAACTCTATCAGAATTGAATACAACTGATTCCTCCACTGAAATCCTGACTTCTCTATTAGACCATGCAAATCAAATTAAAATCCATTCTAGATGACCGTGTTTTATTTATTTTTTACCCCGAGTGATCCATTCAGTAAGCCTGCTCACTGATCTATGGATCAGTGAGCAGGCTTGGACGTTAAAATA